GGTTTGGGGTTTGGGGTTTAGGATCCCACCCCTTGTCCCCAAAGCCCCAACCCTCCTCATCAAGCCTTAGACTGTCTGAAGACCCCCGCATAGATAAAACCCCTCTAGCACTTCCTTAGGAGCGGAAGAGCGAATTTAGGCTTCAGGGTTTAGGGTTTTGCGGCTTAGGGTTTGAACCAAACAAAAACCGCACCAAGTCCCGTACATATCCACAGCAAGCCCTCAGAGATCATCGTCTTGGACCCAAATACCTATGCTATGCCATCCCTTAGAGGTGCTTCCGCATAAGTATAGAAGACGCATGGAGCTTCCCGCCCAAACAGCTTTATGAACCCGAAACCCCTGAACCCCTGAACCCCCTAAACTCTAAACACTGAACCCCTTAACCCCTAAACCCTAAACCCCAAACCCTAAACCCTATAATCCCTAAACACTTAACCCCGAAATGTCGCATGGAACTCCCAAAAAAGCCTCCACTCTGAAGCCTGCCTAGACCCCCCCAACTACCCTCTAAGTCACCCTAACATCCCACTACTAAGGACCAGAAGTGCTCTCTTAGAAGGCTCCCAAGCGAGATCCTGGTGGGTAGAAGGTTTGAGGCCGAGGTTGTGGGGGTGCAGTGCCTCGAATCCAATATCCAGGCCAGGAGCTACGACTTGGGCTTTAAACGGTTTAGGGTTTAGGGTTTAGGGTTTAGGTACTTTAGGGCCCATGTATATGCTGTATGAGTACATGGACCCTTAGGGTGGTTTTATGGGTTTAGGCTTAGGGCTTGGGGTTTAAAGGGCCTACAGGATAGGACTTACGGTTAATGGTCGAGGGTTCAGGGGCACGTTGGTACCTTTGGAGCATACAGGTTTAAACTTCCCTGAATGCTTGGACACTTCTTGCTTCAGACTTTCCAGACCCTAAACCCTAAACCCTAGACCCTGACAGCCTTAGGCGAAGTGTCGTGTTCCAGCAGTGGGCCAAAAACCCTAAACCCTAAACCCTAAAACCCTAAACCCTAAACCCTAAACCCTAAACCCTAAACCACAACACTCCATCTGGCCGCCGCACACTTCGAACCAGATCTGAAGGCCCCGGGGAGGGGACTCCTCAGAAGAAACCCTAAGGGTCCATGTACCCAAATAGTAAGCACTAAGGGTCCCAGAAGGGCTCCTTTAAGGAATCTATATAGGTTCTATAAGGTTTGGGGTATAAGGGTCCATGTACCCAAAGAGTATAGACTTTGGCCCCAAAGTACCCAAATAGGGACTACTTTAAGGCCAAAGTATCTACTATTTGGGTATCTGGACCCTTAGGGAAATGCTTGGTTATGAGAGTGCTTCTTGGCCGGGCAGCCAAGTAGCCCCCCAAAACGATGTGGGACCCACACCGTTCTCTCTGGTAAGCGAGAGTGCCACCCGGCCCCCGTCTCAGAATGCGCATGGCTTCTCTGTGTGTGGGTGTGTAAGAGAAGCGAGCCGAGCAGCAAGGTCGAGTGCCGCACATCCAGCAAGTCTGCCACCCGCTCGTGGAAGCAGGTGGAGGCGCCATGTGTCCAAAGCGTCATTAGTCTTATCTCTAAACCCTACACCCTCAACCCTAGACCCTTATATCCGTACTATAGAAGCATGGAGGAATCCTAACAGGATCGCCTTGTCGTCGTTTTAATCGAAACCCCCCCAACCCTGCAAACTCAGAATAGAAACAATGTAGGCGCCTTATAATGATTAGAATAGGGTTTTGGCCTCCTTTATAGTATGGTTACAATAAGGAACTCTGAGGAATAATGTAGGTAATTATGTAGGCTTCTGTAGTACACCTTTACCCACAGGCCCCAGAGTAGTTCCTTTTTGGGGTTCATATTTAGAGTCTTGTAAGGTAACCCCACAAAGGGAACTACTCTGGGGCCTATGGGTAAAGCCCCTTCTATTCATTAAGGCCGCTATGGTACCGCTGCATTCGTTGGCCTCGGAAGCGCGGTGCTGCATCGGGGTTACGGCAGCGATGAGCTCGTCAAAGCCCTCGCGCTAGGGGGAAGCTTGGGGTTAGGACTTAAGGCGTCGGGTGTAGAACTCAGGCCCCAAGCCCTGAAGCTGAAGGTTTAGGGTTTTGGGTTTGGGCTTATGGCAAAAGCTTGCGTGGGTTTAGGGTTCAGGGTTTAGGATTAGGGTTTAGGATTTCGGGTTATGGTAGCTCTACGGTAAAAGCTTGCAGGGGTTTAGGGTTTAGCTGGGAGTACTTTTGGGCTGGAGGTTTCGGAGGCCGAAGGACCGGAGGTCTCTGTCCATGGGGTTCCTTTAAGGGACAATGTAGGCGATCATGGGTCACTTCAAGGGTTCTATAAGGAGAGGTAGGGTTATAGGGTTTAGGGTTTCGGACTTTGAGGAGACGGTTTCGCGGACGTCGCTGGATTCTGGCGCGTGCTGTCGGTTGGTATGCATTGGGGTGCTCAAACTGCCGCTAGCCTGCGACGAGTACAAGGCGGCAAGTTATAGGTCATGTATGCTTGGCGGATCAGGGCTCTTCGTGAGCAGGGTGTGGCTCGAGGTATAATTTTGGCAGCTCTTCTGATTCCGGCTTCACTTGAAAAGGGGTCCGGTTGAATCCAGACCAGAACTTTTCATATCTAGGGGATCGGTTGGCAGAAGCTGTCCTTCCCATGGCACTCCCTACTCCGGAGGTAATCCGATTGTAAAAGAAGCCCCCGAGGCGCGATCCTTCAGCTGTGCGGAACCCTAAGCCCTGAACCGTGGGCGGCCTCTCAACCCTGAACCCTAAACCCTAAATCCTAAACCCTAAATCCTAAACCCTAAACCCTAAATCCCTAAACCCTAAACCCCAAACCCCGCCTCTTCATTGATGGAGGAGAGCTCCCTTCTCCTCACCTGACATGCTGTAGCCACGATCAAAGGGAGCCTTGTGCTTAGACTAAACCCTCCAAGCCCTGAGCCCTAACCCCCCTAAACCCTAAAAGTTTAGGGTTTAGGGTTTAGGGTTCAGGCGGTTCAGGGTTTAGGGTTTCGGGTTTAGGGAAAGCGACCTAATAATCAGGTACTTAGGTTTCGGATAGTACTTGTAGTTATGTAGGTTACTATTTGGGAGAGTATATGATTATTAGGTACTTGGACCCTTAGGGTTAGGGTCTAGGATCTAGGCTTCAGGGTCCTTTACTTGGAGGCCCAGGGGACTTAGTAATTCGGTGATAAGTAGGGTTATAGTTAGGGAAACTCCACTTAGGGTATTTCTAACTCTACTTACAACCCTTACTAAGTCCTGGGTCTCCAAGTAAGGGTTTCTTGTGGATTGACTTTAATTCTGAGAACGGGATGTTTTAGTTTTAGTGCATTCAAGTACTATCATGTAATGAACCGAGAAACTACGCTGGAAGAGAGTGCTATTGCTGATGATTCAGGCCCCTACATTGGTAGATGAGAGCTGACAAAACCCTCAAGCGCACCGTAGCAAAGCAAAGTAGGACAGGGAGCCCAATAACATGCTCTTCGAAGCCATAACCCTCAACCCCGAACTCAAAACAGAACCAACAACGACGAACAAAGCTCCACCACAAAGCGCCTTAATGCCCTCAACCGCAAACTCAAAACAGAACCGACAATGACGATCAAAGCTCCACAAAGCGCTGAACCTCAACAGAAGCAACACACCTGCTGCTTCCGAGCCCTTGCCGGTGCCTCTGGCGATACCTGGCCTGGGTTCAACTCTGCGACATGTAGGGTTTAGGGTTTAGGGTTTAGGGTTTAGGGTTTAGGGTATAGGGTTTAGGGTTTAGGGTTTAGGGTTTAGGGTTTAGGGTTTAGGGTTTACCTAAGCCTAAACCCTAAACCCTAAACCCCGGAAGAACTCTTGAAGGGTGTGGGGCTGGGGGGCTTCCGTCAGAAATAGCTCATCTAATCTCTGATCCCCTAAGTGCTAAAACCCTGAACCATGCCATCTAGCTTTCTGTTGTCGGGTGGGTCTGGCTAAACTGACATCGATGCTGCTGCAGAGCTCTAGCTTGATATCGGGGCCTTCATGATTAGACTGGTTTTCGTTGGGGGCAGGTTGGTACATCTATATATCGAAAAAGAAAGGGTATGGAATTATTCGCCCTCTCTAACACCTGTCGGTCGCTAAGTTTTGCACCCTGCACACTCCACACTCCTAAGCCCGCAGTATTCGTCGTTGTTGAGGCGATGTACACTGTAGTAGACTCGGAGTGTGTGCAGAAAACGTCCCTGGCTCAACAGGTTTCCTTCAGGGCTTCTGGTTAAGGGCTTTTCGGAGTGAAAGCTTGGTTTTCGGGCCCCGGTAGGCCCCACGGTAGTTCCTTTTTGTGGCTTATATAAACTTCAGGATCCTTTCAGGGAATCCCAAAAAGGAACTACTATGAGGCCTATGGGTATAGAGTTGTAGGGCTTATTTACGGCTGCAGGCTTTCAGGGGTGCCGTGCGGCAAGAAACCAGGGAGAGGACTTCGACATGCCCCAACGGCTGCATTGACCGCATTGCAGGCTAGGTTTTTAGGGCTTAAGGTTTAGGGTTTAGGGTTTAGGGTCTAGGGTTTAGGGTTTAGGGTTTAGGGCTTGCTGCTTTTACTCAAGGCCTTGGGTTTAGGGGTGGCCTCGATTAACCACCCCGAGACCGGAAGCATCGAGGGCTTATATACACCCAAATTGAAGGATGTAAACTTCATCAGTCAACAAAGCTTAATCTGTTGTTGTGGTAGGGCACTGAATCTATATAACCCTATACAAAGCTAAGCCCTAACAGGTTCAAAGCTACCTACCGAAGCCTTAATCCCTAAACCCTAAGCCCTAAACCCTAATTCTTTTACCAAAACTCTACCTGATCTCCAAAGACCTTTCAGCCCCAAACCGCGCGTCTTCACCCCAGCACCTCTAGGACCCTTGATCACCAAACTCCACTGACCCAGAGAACCCAATACCCCTTAGTGAATAAGGAATAAAACCTTAAATCATAATATTGAGGCCCTTAGAATTTAAGGTACATTCCCTAACCAAGGGGTAGTGGGTTCTCTGGGGACCCTAAAAGGTTTCTGGTTTAGGCCCCAAATCCACCTTAAGGGCCCGTAAACCGTCAACCTTCAGTAGGGCATTGGAAGGATCCACAGCCCTGAGCCGTAAAGCTGTTCCTTGCACCTCGATGTTAGGGTTAAGGGCTAAGGGTTAAGGGTTTAGGGTTTTAGGGTTTACTCACTTACCAAGTCGCCTGAGCCTACACCTTTGCGAGTTATTGTTGCGTAGGCACTTCTCTGTTTGCTTGGCCCAGGGTGTGTGCCGCAGGATCTAAAGTTTAGGGCTTAAGGCTTACGGTTGGACTGCTAGTGAACGTCTGCAGGCAGCGCGAGAGAGAGAAGCTGGCTTTGTTCAAGGAGCTGATTAAGCTCGCGGCTGTGCCACTCCTTGAGGACATTGCCGATGCTCCATACGCGGAGGAGGGTCTCTCCGTCAACCTCTGGGTGTCTCCCCGCAGTGCGATTGCCGAAGACGGCCAGTCCACGAGTGGTGGCCCCTCGGAGAGCTCGCTGCAAGTATTGGTCATCGGTCTCTTGCTTTTACAACCATTCCATGCGGACATTGATGTTTGCTCTGCCTGCCGGCTCAAGGAAGATGCCCGTTTGACCAGAGAGGCCCAGGAGGCTACCGACACATCGGCCGTGGGGACTCGCATGAGCCCAAACAGTTGGGCCGTCTTGGTGGTCTTGATTTGCTCCTCTCAATCCATCCAAAAGCATCGACCCCTTGTACATGGTGGGATCCCGCCCATCTCATGCATGCTTTTTCGGGGCTGGTCGTGAAGTCTTTCCAAACCTGTTCCGATGCAAAGGCTTTCGGGATACGCTGGAGAATGGCAAACAAGCTAACTGGAGTAGGGCTGAGGCCTCTCTTGCTTCAGCTAGCCAACTCCTTATTCGCAGAATGCTGCAACCTGAGGAAACAACTCCGGCTTGACAACTTAGGATTTGGAGTTGGGGAGTTTATGGTTTAGGGCTTTTTGCAAAGTCCATAGAAGTCTCTTCATCCGTTCTCGTGTATCTCTTTGTTATCATTTAGCATTTTGTCGGGCTACCTATTGTTGTAAACTGCATGAACAACCGCATGATCTATTTTCCGCGTTATGATCCCATGTTCTTGCTTCTTGCTTTACAAGTCAACGCACACTGTCCCACAGATGGCGGCAAGTCCTTGCATGATTCCAAGCCCAAAAACTCTGAAGCCCTAAACAATACTAAATCCCTAAACCCGAAAGCCCAAAACCTGGACAGAGTAAGTGTGAGGCCCTTCGTCGCAGAAGGCACCTGGACTTCACACGGCTTCCAGGCGGAAAAGAACACTTTGAGCTAGCGACCTCGAAACCCCTTATTAACGGGTTTAGGGTTTAGGGTTTGAGCAAACAGGTACGGAATGCAACTGCAGGCCTTAACTTAAGGCTTGCAGTTGCATTCCTTACCTGCTTGAGAAAGCCCCAAATCCAGATTTGGATTCCCTCTAGTTCGGGAATGTCTTCCTGAAGTTAGAGTACGGACCCGAATATGACTTCACTTCTCAATTAAGGGGTTTTGGAGTCTCTGGGTTGCGGCGGAGACATGGTGTCGGGGCTTCGGCGCTCTGCTTTTTGGGTTCTCGGGCTTGGGGCGAAATAGGGTTTCAGGCGTTTGGGGTTTTGGGGCTGTGTGTTTTTTTGAATTTGGTGGTAAACCCTATGGCATCTCCGGAACTTCTGGCCCTCTAGCTCCCTTTTCGGCCTGCCTTGGCTTTGCTGCCCTTGCGGGAGCCATCTGCAGTTTTGCGGGCGTTCTGCTGGTTCGATACAGTCAACAACCTGGAAATCCAGTCCTCACCGACAACTTCCTCAGCGTCTTCGTCTAGAACACGGTTTAGGGTCTAGGGTTTAGTTTTAGGGTTTAGGGTTTAGTTTTGAGGGCTTAGGGTTTAGGGTTTAGGGCGCGTCCAGCTTCGCAGCTCGGGGCATCGGGATGCCATCGGTTTTGGCGATCGTTCTGCAGCTTCTTCCCCACGATGGCATCTGCGATCTCTCGTGTCAGCTTGTGCTCCAATTCCGCCCGAGTCATCGTTTGACGCCACGTCGTGTTTTGCTGTGCTTGGAACACACGTTTATGTAGACGGACGTCTTCGTCCACTCTGCATCAGCTTTTACCCAACTGTCAAACACATAATGAAGACAGGCGAGACCTGGCTAAGCAAAGCAAGACAAGAAGAGGGTTCCAGCGATGGAGATTCAGGTGGAACTCGAAAGAAAGTTGACACAAGAGGTCGCGGATGCCATAGTTGTTAGGCTAGTTTGGGGTCTATGGCTTGGGGTTTAGGGTTTATAGGGCTTGGGGTACCTATAAGATCCAGAAAGCCTCAGCACCGACCCTGCAGCCCTGAGTCCTGATCCTCTTGCTTCAACACTCGACCTAAACCCCTAAACCCCAACCCCCTACCCTAAGCCCTAAACCCCCAACCCCCTAACCCAAACCGCTAAGCCCAAAAAACCCAACCCCCTTCCCCGCTAATTCCTAAGCCCCTAAACCCCAAACCCAAACCCCCAAGCCCTAAGCCCTTAAGCCCATAAACCCCCTAAACTAAACCCTACGCCCAAAGCCCCCAAATCCCTAAAGCCCTAAACCCTAAACGAGAGCCGTGCAGGCTAACACACTGCAGACTTGGCCTTAGGCGGTTATGAAGGTTTACACTTTGGGATTCACAGGATCTTCAACTCTCAAGCTTACGGCTTGGGGTTTAGGAAGTTTAGGGTTTAGGTCTAAGTCGCCATAAGACACCCTCAACAAGCTCGGCACAGAACCACACTGTCTACAACAGTACAGTAGGATGACCCTAAACCCTAAACCCAACACAAAGCCCGTGAATCCGGCAACTCCGACAGCACCATGAACCCCCGATCTATGCCTGAAATCACCGAAACAAAACGTGAAACGATTCCTGTTCAGGGTTTAGGGTTTCCACGGACAAGCACCCAAACCCCAAAGCAGCAAACACTTAAAAGACCCCACAACAATCTTCAGAACCAGCGTCCGAGACCCCTCAGCATCCCAATCGGCCCAGCCGAACCTCTTTCCGAGCTTTTTTGCTGTCTACGAACCCTATGCCCACCGCTTCCAGGGGCCTTATTTTCGGGTCGTTAAGGAGTCTCGGGTCCGAATGTTGGGCTTGGGGGGTATATTAACTATAGTTATAATAAGGAACCCCAAAATAATATAGGTAATTACTAAGGCCCCCATATTAACTAGGTCCTAGGAAGCATAGGGAAACACTCCCCAGAATGGGACTTATCGTCAGCACCTCGATAGAATCAAACACCCCGACCTCTGAACCCCGAACCCCGAACCCTTCTAAACCCTAAGCCCCAAGCCCTAAACTCCAAGCCCTAACCCTCAAACCCCCACACCCTAAACCCCCAAACCCCAAACCCTAAATCCTCAACCGAACTTCCCGGACCCCCCCAATGGCCTTTTAATCGAGCCCTTATGGTCCTTAATAGTGGGTACTTAAGGTTGTTGGGTGGGCCAGGTTTTCAACTAAGCCCTAAACCCTAAACAATAAAAGAAACCCTAAACCCCAAACCCTAAACCCCTAAACCCTAAACTCTCAACGCAAATTTTCAACACAACGCACTCAACACCCCTAAACCCTAAACCGAAACCCTAAACCCTAAACCCGAAAACCTAAACCCTGTGGGGGCCTCGGCGACCTGGGAGAGGTTGTGAAGACACTGCGCCTCCTGTCGCGACCACGCAAAACCGCCGCTTGAAGCTCGGGGGGGTCTTGCTGAAGATAGGGTTTAGGGCTTTTGGTGTATTTGGGTTTAGGATTTAGGGTTTAGGGTTTAGGGTTTAGGGTTTTGGGATTTGGGGTTTAGGGTTTAAGTATATTTGGGTTTAGGGCTCTTAGGGTTTAGGGTTTAAGTTTATTTGGGGCTTGGGGTCTAGGGTAAAGGGTGTTGCTCAAGATTTTCGAAAGGTCCTTGAGCAGTCTACAGGGTCTGAGAACGGCGTGCTAAAGGGGCTTTGTAACGGCTGCTTAAAGGCGTCACCCTAAACCCTAAACCCTAAACCGTCAATAATAAGCTCCTAACATGTTTTCGAATAGGAAAAGGTTGTAGGACTGCCTTACGAGGGCTCTATACGGGCTTCTTGACAAGGAAGACCATTTCTGGGGATTCTGCTTTTTGTCAGGGCTCTTTTACCACGGTGCCCTATTTTCGGCCGCACGAAGTCGGGTTATGGAGCCTTCGGGAAAGCCCATCTGTACAAATCTCCGGACATGGTACACGGAATAGTTCTTGTGGGTACTCACGTCCCTGTTTGATTGGCGCCTGAGACGCCGCCTTTGTAAACGTCCCAACCACGAATCGCCGCCAGCTGAAGCAAGTATTGCCGACTTTGTCGTGTCACCACCGGCTCAGTCGTGGCCCTGTGCTCGTAACATGGATCCTGGTATCCCAGGGGAACGGCTCGAGCCTTGGGTTGCTTTGATCCGTTTTGGTCTTAAATTTCAAAACCCAGCGCACGCAATTCCAATGGCTTGATCACGAAGGACGAAGGTGTGGTAGAGCCTCGAAAGCACCCTGAAACTCTCTTTACCTACAGTGAAGTCTCATACTTCCGCCATCTCAGCGCCGATTCAAGGCCTCGAAACGCCCACAAACCCTATCAACCCTAAACACACGAGGATCTTCAGGAGCAGGGCATCCGGAAGAAAGACATCAGAGGAGATAGGTACTTCTGTAAATTAGGGTCCCTTTTGAAGCCCGCAAAATAGCACGGCACCTTCAGAAAAAGGATCCTGAAAGGGACCCTATGATTGAAAACTACCCATATCCCGGAAGCCCCTAAACCCTAAACCCTAAATCCCATTTAGGGTTCCGGGTTTAGGGTTTAGGGTTCAGGGTCCCATTTTGGAAAACTACCCACATCCCGGAAGCTCCTGGCGGGTTAACGGCAGGGCTTTTGGGTAGGGCTCAGCATGAGGGTGTCCTTTTAGGGTTTTTAGGGTTTAGGGTTTAGGGTTTAGGGTTTGGGGTATCTGCATTAGAATCATATTGCATTACACTATGTTCTGCTAAACGACACTATATTAAATTCTGCTCTACTCGATTATTTCCTAGGTTCCCAGCATACTTAATACTTCGCCTCTTAGTACGAGTGAAGGATGTGAGGTAAAGATTGTCGGGGCTTTGGTTTTGAGGCTTGCTAAACCCTAAACTTACCCCCCAAAACCCCAAATCCTAAACCCCTGAATGCTAGACTTCCTAAACCCTAAACCCTAGCCAGAATCGGGCTCTCTCGGGTGTTTACCGGAGCTCTTCTCGTTGGATCTTTTATAGAGGGATCCCACAAGCCGGAATAAGCTTGTGGTACTGTTGATGGACAAAATCCTGCATGACCCAAGTATAAATCCCATAGTTTAGGTATGTAAGGTCATACAGAATTTTGTCCATCAACCGTAGGATCTGTCGTTTTTGCACGCTTTCAACCGCAAGCTCGGGTTCAGGAGGTGTGATCTGCATATAAACCTGACAAACCCAAAGTCCAAACCCCTTGAGGACCCCTAGAAGATTAAAGAGGGTCCTTCAAGAAGTCTTTAAAGGCACCCGCCCGGCCCGGCTAGGTCCTTTGAAGTCGGCAACCTCTCACTTGACGCTAACCCCTGAACAAAACCCCTAACTTCCCTAAATCCCTACACCACCATTTAAGGTTTAGATGGTGGGATGGTCTGTTTCGTGCGCCCCTGCTAAGCCGTGACACCTCCAACAAAAGTATAGACATGCTTCTAATGCATGAACAGTTTCGGATGTGCCTAAGCACGTTCTACACAAGTGCTATTGGCTCCAGGCCTAAGAAGTGCTATAGTAGAGTTGCTCCAGATCCTGGACCTTTAACCCTAAACCCTAAACCCTAAACAGCCCTAAACCCTAAACCCTAAACAGCCCTAAACCCTAAACCCTAAACCCTAAACAGCCCTAAGCCCTAAACCCTTTCTACGCTGAAAGCGTGGGTAACCGGGGCCCAGAAACTCTTTGCCTCGTCTACGGCACCCATCAGCACGTGAAAGAAGACCGTCAGCGTCAGAAAATCCACAAAGCCAGTCTGCGCATGGGCTTTAGGATCTGCACGGTTCATGGCCTATGCCCTAAACCCTAATAGAAACAAAGCCAGTCTGCCCCCTCTTAAAGCCAACTCCCCTCCATGCTCATAGGGCCCTACATACTTACAGATCTTCGACTGGTGGGCCTTTGGGAGGTTGTTCCTCGTCTGGGGATTTAGGCTTTAGGGGTTTAGGGTCTGGGGATTTAGGGTTTAGGGTTTAGGGGTTTAGGGCTTAGGGGTTACATTCCGACACTCCGCAACCCGACAACATGAGTCTCAAGCCCCTAAACGCACGTCGGAAAACACAAGCTCCAAGCGGTGACGTCTTGTAGAATACTCTAAGGGTCCATGTACCCAAACAGTAGATACTTTGGCCCCAAAGCACCCAAATAGGGACTACTTTAAGGCCAAAGTATCTACTATTTGGGTACATGGACCCTTAGGGATGTATTCGCGGCTTGGCACTCGCTCCCTCCTGAACCTACGGCCTGACTCTGAAGCCTAAAACTATAAACCCCACACCAATGCCATGGCATAGTCCTCTGAAGCACAACTGCCGCTTCACAAGGTCTACTGAACCACGATAGTCATACTGTCTTCCGTCTTCCGTCTTATTCATGCTGTCTTCCGTCGTACGGATATTGCAGAGTTTACCCTAACCCCCCAGGTACCTACTATATAGGGTACTAGAGCCCCTAAGGCCCTATATAGTAGGTACCTGGGGGGTTAGGGTTATCCATCCGCAGTAGTAGGATGCCCTTCTAGACACCAAGATGCGACTTTGTCTAACCGCAGGCGCTCTCGGTCCGCATGCGCTACGACACAGCCTAGAGAGCCCCTATGAGGTTTAGGGTTATGGAGGTACTGTGCCAAGCAAACATACTCATGTGGCTTAGCTTTTAAGGTTTAGTGGTGCATCATGTCCAACCAAGTCCACCTGGATTGGTAGTACGCCCCTAAATCCTAGACCCTAAACCCTAAACCCTAGACCCTAAACCCTAAACCCTAAACCCTAAACTACACTCTTGGGGCCAGCTTCTCGCATCCGAGTTCAGCCAGCTGAGTCAGGAATTGTCCCCGGCCTGAGCAACGTTAGGGCTTAGGGTTTAGCGGTTTAGGGTTTAGGGTTTAGGGTTTAGCACTTAGACCATGACTGTCTCGATTTTGACCGCTAACGGGCTGTCCGATTCAGAACAGTGTTGCCGCTTCTTTTCCATCATCATCATCGTCATCACGATCATCATCGTCATCATAACACTTTCCCGTTTGCACCTGTACTGTTTAGCTGTTCTTGCTGCAGTTTGCATGACTACCGCTACGTGAAACGACTCCTGACCACTGTGATGACTGGTTGTCTTCGTACAAGTAGAAACAAGCCTCCGAGTTAGTGGGCTCTATCTATATCACGAACGCGCTGTATCTGGCATCTGGGTCTACAGAGGATAAATCTCTGGGAGGTTGCAGATTGCGTACGGGCACTTCTCGATAATCATTTCCCGGTAATACATACCTTAGCACTCGTTTTGATGTTCCAGGAATGTGTGCCGTAATGCCCAAGCGTCCCCACCACGTACCACCGAGAAGACCATAAACCCTATAGCCCCCAAACCCTACAGGCCCTACACCCTGGAACCAGGGTTCCTCGCAGTGCAGTCCTTGAGCCTTCATCGTCCTCCTGTTCAACTTGTTCGTCCTCGTGGTCATCACATTGCAACCCTTTTCCCCCTGCCGCGATCAGGACGACCAAGGCGATGGCTCTGATCATGACGACGATAGAAGTGATGCAGCTGATGGCGGCGAAGCTTAGATAGTGTAGTCATGGTCTAGATGGTAATTCCGGCGGTGGTGATGTGGCAGTGCATCGCAACAATGCTCCCGGTGCTGATAACAACTGGCCATCAGGGCGATAAGGACAACCAGGATGGCTTCCCCCTGACTGGGCACCCTAAACCCTTTCCCCGAAACCCCAATCAAGTCTCACACCCCTGGTCCACTAGCACTGGCATTTTGAGCCGTATCCGGATCTCTGACCCGCGTTCCCCCTAAACCCTAAACCCTAAACCCTAAACCCTAAACCCTATCCGGATCACTGACCCACATAGACAAGGGCATAGACCGACTGCGGCTTCGTCATTCTTAGGTCCCATCCTTTTCTCCTGAAGGCCACAACCTCTTAGCCCCAGGCCCTGCTGTAGCCACTGAAGAGGTCGCTCATAAATGCTACATAAATAAATAAACAAATTACTGTAATAAATAACAAATAAATAAATAAATATAAATATATATATATATATATACATAGGTACTTATATATATATATATATTATATTATATAACTTTTGTAAGCAATACACCTCTATACATACGCACATGTCCTGTGCTGCGTATATGTAGATGTAGGATGATTTGGCTTCTAGGGCCTTCAGGGCTCCCCCCCAGCCCGCTGCAATCCTGACGCACGCCAAAAACCGAGATAGAATAGACCACACCGCTGAGACATCCACCTGCAAACCATCTTTTTCTGAACCCAGAGAACCCAATACCCTTAAATTAAGGACTATACCTTATTTATAAACCATAATATTAAGGCCCCTATAATTTAAGGTATATTCCTCCATTAAGGGGTATTGGGCTCTCTGGGCAAGCGCAGAGCACTGAGTTTACTTTGCAAATGTGGGAACGACCTGCGAAGGCACCTAGAATCAGAGAGTCATGCGCATAAACTTGACGCATGCCACGACACTCCATATGGCCCTATCACACGGATTTCTTACGGTGCTTGAATCCGAACAAGACACAAGCCAACACCCAACAACCCCTCACCTCACCCTAGGAGCACAGTTACCCATATAGTGGGCTAGTGTCCCTTGAATCCTATAGAAACACTGCAGTGCCCATAACCCAGTAACTTATTGTATGCATGGGTATCTGGGCTCCCCGAAACCCTAAACCCTAAACTCTAGGGTCAATTCACAAATCGATTGTTGAAGCCCCTGGGCACTCCGGCGCGACTTGACAAATTCCTCGGCACGACGCTTTGCCTGATTGTCATGGTTGATTTGAGAGTTGGGGTTTAGGGCTTTTTGGTTTAAGGGGGGTTCAAAACTTAGAGCTTGGGTCTTGGGTTTCAGGCTATTTTGACCCAGGAGACCAGATACCCATATAGCAAGTTACTGGGAGATGGGCACCACAGAGTTTAGTTGGGGTGCAAGGGAGACCAACCCAATACATAACCCTAAACCCAAAACCCCTACATAACCCTAAACCCAAAACCCCTATATAACCCTAAACCCAAAACCCCATGACCCTAAACCCTAAACCCCAACATAACCCTAAACCCTAAACCCCAACATAACCCCAAACCCTAAACCCTAAACCCCAACATAACCCTAGACCCTAAACCCCAACATAACCCCAAACCCAAAACCCTAAACCCCAACATAACCCTAAACCCTAAACCCCAACATAACCCCACACCCTAAACCCTAAACCCCAACATAACCCTAGACCCTAAACCCTAAACCCCAGGATTGACTGGGAGCTGAGGCTTGGTTTCCAAAGCTTCCCGAAGCCGCGCTGAGCAGACCCAAGACCGGGTCTTCGTGAATTGAATGTGGGAGCCTCATAAGTTCGAATTCAGGGTTATAGGGTTTAGGGATTAGGGTTTATATAGGGGTTTTGGGTTTAGGGATTAGGGGTTCAGGGGTTTTGCGTTTAGGGTTTAGGGTGTATTTCTCTAAACTAGGGTCCCTGTTAGGGCTCCTTAAAGGGTTCTATAAGGGCTACTATAAGCGCAATAAGGGTTTAGGGTGTAGGGGCCTTATTATATTAATAAGAATAATGTCCTGGGCTACGTTATATTGTATAAATGTAATAAGGAACCCTACGGAATAATGTTGGTAACTATGGAGGCTTCTACACTACATCAATGTGAGAATTGCATCACGGAGCCTCAACACAGCTCTCCCAGTTCCCGAGGCCCCTAAAGGATTTCAACTTCTGCGTTTGAGGGTGGCGGCCCCTAAACCTAAACCCTAAACCCTAAACCCTAAACCCTAAACCCTAAACCCTAAACCCTAAACCCTAAACCCTAAACCCGAAACCCTAAACTCGAGAGCCTTTCCTGGCTTAGGTTTTGAGGTTTTAGGGTTCAACGTTGGAGAGGAGGAAGACCTGAAAGCCGAAACCCCTAAACCAGCACACTGCTGGGTCTAGGACTCACATAAAACCCTGAACCCCAAACCCTATACCTAAACCCTAAACCCAAAATCCAAAAGCATAACCCCCCAAAAACCTAAACTCTAGACCCCAAACCCCCTAAACCCTAAACCCCAAACCTTAAACCCTAAACCCCTAAAATCCTAAACCCCTAGCAGCCCGAAACCCCCTTAAAAACCCTTGAAGAATACCCTAAACCCTAAACCCTAAACCGTGGTCACCGGCCTCTTGCCCCATGGCATATCTGTGCTGCGGATCGTCGATGAGAGACTTCACCTCTGAGGTACTGAAGCTCTGGAACCGGTTTAGGGTTTAGGGCCTAGGGTTAATGTAGGGTTTAGGGTTTAGGGTTTAGGGTCTGGGGTTTAGGGTTTATACTGAAGCTCTGGAGATAATTTTGGGTTTAGGGTTTGGGGTTTAGGGTTTAGGGTTAATGTAGGGTTGAGGGTTAATGTAGGGTTTAGGGTGTAGGGTTTAGGGTTTAGGGCTTTGGGTTTAGGGTTTGGGGTTTAGGGTCTAGGGTTAATGTAGGGGCCTTAATAATTCGAATAAGGCTTCGGGGGGGGTTATTATACTTGTAGCATAATATGCACCGAAAATTTATTCTAGTAATTTTGGCCCCTATATTAGGGTTGAGGGTTTAGGCTTTAGGGTTAGGGGACCTTAAACTTTAAACCCGACAACCCCAAAACCTGATGGGCCTTATACCCCGAGGCGAAGATTCGCATACTAACCCTTTTGTTACCCCTAAACCAGTATGGGCCCCATCATCCAATCGATAC